TACTGACATTTTTCCCTGCTACAGAAAAAATTAATGCACAATATTAAAATAATGTCTAGTATATAAAACCCTGAAGATTTCAGATCCAGTTAGATACCCAATTTCTAAGTTTGGAGCAAAAGACTTGCAAAAAAAGACAGTCAACCCATGGTCACTGCAACTAATACATAGTTAGTAGTTTGCTCTATGAAATTTTTTCCTCTAAAACTTCTTGGTTACCCAAGACATCACTGTTTAAACTAAAATAGTTGATTTTTACGGTTAGTTCCGTCCATCATTAAAAGAAAACCTAATTTAAACCAGGCTGACTTCTCATTTAATTTCTCTCCAGAAAGGGATTTAACATTAGGAAGATACTAATCAAATTTCTTATGAAGGTTTTTGTCCTAAACCCCAACTCAACAAAAACAAAAAAAAGATTTCATTATTTTCATCCTAATTTTTCCTAGCTGGAGTCTAACAGTAAATGGAATAGTCTTCTGCAGGGATGGATAGAAGCTCCACATATTTCTCATGTAGCTACCTCAGATGTCATGTTTGCTAGGCCTATAGTATTGAAACCAACAGATTTAACCTCTTCTGCACAATAGGTAGCAACTATATTAATCTATGGGGATTCCAGAAAGTCTCAGGGAAAGGAGACAAGTTTTCCAAAACATTCATAAGGTTCTCACAGTGTTCCGGTACGATGCACAGCCTGCAAATGCTAATATTTCGTAGTTGAACAGGAGCTCCTGGAATTTCAGGGGACTGGGAATGTAGTAGGTTTCAAATGGTAATGTGCCATAAGCCACCTGGGATGCATCACTGAGGTACATGGAATTTTTCCTTGCAGTTTGCTTTTAAATAAGATTAAATTAGAATCATGGTTCATCTGAAGAAATTTAATATTACAAGATATGTAATGAAAGTTATATTATGTTCTTTAAGCTCTCTGTGGAAGATAGGCTTTTAATTTTTGATAACTGGGCTTGATGTTCTTTAGCATGCCACTGGGTATTTTTCTCGGGCATGTCTCTGCAGTTCTTCTGAAACAGCATGTGCATGTAGATTTCTGTTAGAAAAATAGAGAAGTGGTTGAATAATGGTGCTTCAAGTATGCAGAAGACATTGCATGGTCCCACACACTCATTCAAGACCAGAATGACCCTGCGGTTGCTGCATTAGTTTGGGATCTTGGAATTGTTTCATGAACTTCTTGTGAGGCTGTGAAGAAACCATTGATGCTCAGGGGTCTTATTTTCACCAGTAAAGGAGGAGTAATATTTCCTTCTCCCATCTGTTCCATTTTGATTACCCAAATATTTCCAAAGAATACAGCCTAAAAATATTAAGATTTCTTGGTATCCAGTACTGTTTAGACCTACACAGATATTCCTATGCTAGACTGGCAAAGGCAGAGGAAGGAGAATGAAGTATTGGGATTTTCAGGGGGAGGAATAACACAGACAGAAACCAACCTTTAGGTCAGATCTTCAGTTTTGCAGTATAAAGTTAGTAATGAACATTATTTCTTGGATAAATGTTCATGGCATTTATAGCACCAACCTAGGAGCAACAGTCCACTCCTGGAAGCAAGGCCTGGGGGTTTAGAGCCACAAAACCATAGATCTGAACCAGGCCTGAATGACAGGATAAGTTCTAAAAGACTATTTTTCATTTTCATATGCTGTTCAGTTCCCTGCTGCTGAATGGGAATAAAAGTTGACATGATGAAATACTATGGGAAAAGCCACTCTTTCCATATTTCTAGCCTGACCAAAATCCAAAAGGACCAAATGAGTCAACACTTCTTTTTTTTCCAGATTTGTGACTCTGCTAATTCAACATATCATATGTGTGTAAGCATCAGGGTCCAAGTTCTTAGAAGTGCTAAGCACATATAAAATCTCCCTCAAGCTTATAGCAGTTACAGGTGTCCCAGGCAATGGCAGCAGTGAAGGTATCAGCACAAGGATCATAATTTCAGTTCAAATTAGACTGAGTTTCTAAATTCTTCACAGCAATCTTGTTGCTAAGTTGAACTTTTCCTGGCTTTTGTATCCTCCATTAAGAACTTCTGTTCCTAGTAACAAAACTGGTGATTCAGTGAGCAAATTATCCTCTTTTCCACATTTCAGTGTTCCAGAAAGCACTGCAAGCTCAGCACTGAGCTTTGCCACAACACCTACTAAAGTCTGTGGAAAGACTGCCACTGACTTCAGAGAGGGTTAGGTTAAGTCGTGGGGTTGGTAGACTTCTACGGTCTAGATTCTGAAAATTCACATGCCTATATTAACAGTAACACCAGCTGAGTGCTTGGCCCTTTGCTGCACTGCATTTTCCTCTTATGCCCTATACATCCACAAGTTTAGCAAAATTTGCCAACCAGGAGCACCATTTTCAGAACTGGCATTCTGTCCCCACACACTACAGGTTAAGAACAACTTCTTGACTTAATCATAAATGACTTTCAGAAAAAGTACCTTTGCCTTGAGCTTCTGTATCTTTGTGAGGAATAAAGAGCTCTGTTCTTCTTTTCCTCTTTCCAATCCTTCACACTTGAGAGATTATAGGTCTGTCAGATTTTAATCACTGCAAGTATTGTTTCCCTAATTCAAGAGAAGGGTTTCATTGGTACTCGCACAGATCCTTCTACTTCAGATTAAAAAAAAAAGAAAGTCAAATGTGCATTATTACAACCAATGTGAATCTACCAAATTATTCCATGATCCTATGCGTGATGGCACAATAGAAGTGGAAGTTACTTATATTCACTGAGACAACCAGGCATTACATCACATGATGATGTGTGGCAGACCTCTCCCTTAAAAAACTGATAATGTATTCCCTGCCCACAATATTTTGGCTTTTGCTTAGGTACGAGTGAACCTCAAAACATTCAGTGATATAGATCAGTTTGTGCAAGCATCCATAACCTGAAGGATGTGGTTTTGTGTGTTTTATTTAATTGTTTTTACTGCATGGCTGAATAGTCCTGCTGAAGGATTTGGCCTCGAAGGAGAATAATGTTTTTCATAATTTCCTAGTGTTTGCTCATTTCTAACATGTTAGCACAGGAAGGACAGCAATACTGCAAGAAATATAATCTTGGCAGCATTTTAAGCACATCCCAGTTCATTAGGATTTTCTTAAAAACAACAAATACTTATATTGATCAAAAAGTAATGGTGTATTATATTCAAATAATCTGATTATGCTATGTTGATTTGCAGTTTGTATTACTGCATTTACACTATGTTCTAATTCATGGTTTTATCACAAAACCCCTGAGATTTCTCTGTGCTTTGCAAAACACTGTGTACAGCAATAAACGGGACCCATTGTTTTCATTATTCATAGGTGTACTGCTTTTAATGGTGACAGATTCAGAACAGCATATGTAAATATAATATAAATATTAAAATATAAATTAGTGATGCAGAACATGGAGAAGTGCCAAGGCCTTCAAGTAAAGAAGTGAAAAAGACGTGCACAAATAGCATTTTGTAATCTTCAGAAAATATTCTGAAGAGCTACTGGGATTTTTTTCATGATTATAAAGGAAACTTTTTGTTCAAATTTGTTACCTCTCCTGGGATAAGACCATAAGACAGTTAAAACAAGGGTCAACCAAACTGTGCCCAGCTCTTTAAATTAGCCAAGTGAAAATGCACATACTAAATTGTATACTGTACTTTTAGTGCTGTAAAGATCAATTATCCGCACAAACGAAAGGAGAGTTTGTGTATCACTTCAGTTATAAAGACTTTAACAGAACTTCGGAACATAACTGAAGAATTGTGCAATCTAGGAAAGGAATCCCATTCAACCCAATGAGATTTAAAACACAAATTTGGTGCACAAGTCAACTTTAGAAGTCAAGATTAGAAACATTTTCATGGTAATGTGAGGATAGACTGTGTGACTAGAGCACATTTAGAAAGCCCAGTTGGAACAAAAGGCTCTTGAACACAATAGTTTTACAATAAAACAAAACAAATAAAAACGCTGTCAAGGTAAAGTTACCACTTTTGCTGAGAAAGGAAGTATGCATACATGAATGTAATATAAAAATTAAATAAGTTTTCTTTGATCTGTTAACAAGAAAGCTAAACAAGCCAGTGGATATTCTCCAAATAACTTCTCATTATTAGAATTTTTTTTGATGTCCAAATTGCTTCCCAAGAAGCAGGTCCTCTGGGAGAAGAGACCTGAAAGCCAGAAATAATCATTCTCTACGCATCCTATTGTTAGGTGATGTCCAAGGTTAAGAGTTTCGTAGAACTAAAGACAAAGACCATTTAGTTAATTTCCTTCAAATGGTTTCATATGAATAGCAACAGGACGTTAAGCAGGTTAAAGCAGGTAAATACTATCCTCTTTGGTTTTGTGAATTTTAATTGACTTTTCTACACTTCTGGACTACTGTCCTTCTTTCTTCATTTAAAAATTCAGGTTTTGAGAAATCAGATTAAGCCTTTGTGTTCTACCCATCATCAGTCAGCAATGACTAATGCAGTGGGGTGGGAGTGCACTTCACTGGCCTCAACACAGTGTCACTGAGTGGCATTAGGTGGCACAACTGCTGCACACCTCCTCAAGTGCCTTGTCCAGCTCTCATCTCTTGGTGTCCCTCATAAACTACTCATGGTGAAGGCTCTCAGAGCACAACAACTTGCCCTGCTACCAGTACTTCAGAGGTGTCTTTTTTCTTGGAAGAGCTATCAAACCCCTCTGTGTAAACCTCACAGCCTCCCCCTCTGTAACATTCAGACTCTGCTTGCCTTCAGCAGATGGTCCCTGGCCCCCAGTCCCTCAACTGTAGTCTGCAAGGTCACTCAAGGTGGAGTTAGACAGTCTGTCCTATTTTACAGCTGACAGTTCCTGTTGGGTGACGGGCACCAGAAAGAACCCGGACCAGAAAATAAAGTTAACGATTACAGATCATAGAATCTTAACTGTAAATGGTGGGTTCTTCCTTGTATGTCAAATATTTATTTCCCTCTTCTCATGTCAGCCTCCACCAAGAGGACAGGTGAGCAGCTCCATAGGCAGGAACTGTATGGACCAGAAAATTGGCCAGCTGTTTGCGCGTCCAAAGGCAAGTTAAGTGGCTACCTTCTCCTGGAACTTCAAATCAAATTACCTGATCGGGTTTAATACTTTTAAGTTCACCTGAGGAAGTCTTAATCATGGTGAGTTAATCATTCAGTGCACATCTGACCAAGGCCCTTGGCAGTGAAAAATATTCCAAAGTGCTTTTAGTAGATGGATGTTATTGCTTTACAGTGTAGAGTGCCAAACAATATATTAAAAAAGACACTGTATGCAACTAATTGTCAGTCAGGAATGTGAGGTTAGGGAAAAAGGTGTTGGAATGCGATAGTGAGTACAGAAAAGGCAGCATTTAGTGTAATAGAAAAATCAGTGCACCAAAGATTCAATTCTGCAAGAGCAGGTGTTCTGCAAGTTAGATGTCTTAAACTCATCACTACTTTTAAGAACAATGTTGCATATCATTCCATTTTGAAATTCTATTATTATAAACATGAAAAGATTTATTTATATAACATGATCTACATAAAAAGAGTAAGACTAAAACTTTGGACCACCACAGATACATATAGGTATTAAAAGGACACTTGCACAACCAATATCTTTTTTCATATGTTTCTTGTCTGTCACCAGTTTTAGGTGTGCACTGTATATTTGTAGAAAGCTTATTTGATGGGAAAAAATGTGAAACTGAGAAGGAAACTATTTTCATAACAATGCTCAATCATTTGCTTCAAAACTTTTAATTAAAATTTAAAATAAAAGGTACATTTTTCCTTGTTCAAAAAAATGCTGAGAATTGCAGTAAAGAAAATGAGGACTTATATCTCTACAGAATTCCTTTAAGCTTCACTTTAACTAATCAAGTCAAAAGCATAAGTTATCCATCAAGAACAAAATGTTACATTTGACTCAAAGAAACACTAGAGTTCTAAATGCATTGTGGTTCATAGTTATTTAAATATTTTAAAAAATTACTATAAAAACCTTAATAATACCACTACCATTAAAAAAAATCTATTAAGCTTTTCAAGTCATATTCACTTTCTGTGACGTTTTGCAAACTTTCCATCTTATTTTGGTACAATATTTCAACACTATACAGTCTTTTTTGTGAGTTTACAATACAGCAACGGTAACAACAAAAATAACAATAAAGCCAGATTCTTGAAGTCTTCTGTTTTCACTCTTTTCTTGAAGCTCCAATTATTGGTTTTCTTCCTTTCTACGACTATAATCATGCTATTCCAAAGGAAAGATTTTACACGGGTTTGCTGTGAGCAATATTTATACATATGGTTTCTACTTCACTGTATTTTATTTTTCAAGTCTGCACTGCCAAGAAACTGCACATTTGCAAAAAACATTTACCATACAATTTGATGACTCCTTTACAATGGCCCGAATTAAACATTAAAGTTTGTATGAAATACCATCTACACAGAGTACAGATAAACAAATTAAGGCCTGAATACTGCCAGTTAACACACAGAGAGAGCACTGCTATACTGATGTTCACAGGAGTTCTATTGAATTTCAGTGAATCTCATTACATGTTTCCACATGCTCAACCGTCTGTAGGATGAGGGTTTGACTTTGCTGCTTAGGAGTCACTGATGAGCTCCAGGCCTACCATCTTGCAACAAAGCCCATGAAGACAAACTTCACCAGTTGCAAAGGCTGTATCTATGCTGTATTCATTGCAGGATCTTAGATTCAGGCTGGATATTAACAAACAACATCAAAATGATTGTGCTTTGATCTAGCAGCTGTTATCATCCAGGAGTTCTAGCAGAGGAGCATGCTTTTATCCCTCATGAAGGTAACACCTAAAAGCATGCAAGACACAGTTTAAACAATGGATGATTTAGTACCCAGTTGATTACCTGCCATTTTTTATCAGATTTTTTTATTCACATTAAAAAGGGTTAATGCCAAAAGAAGGCATCATCCATTTTCATTGTGCCAAGATATGATCATGATCAGAAGTTTGTGGGGGTAGAAAAAGCCAATCTCAACATAAATGAGCTATGAAATACTATCTAAACCACAAAATCAACATTATTAAGTCCTAGGGAACTATCAAGCAGGACAACTAAAAATCACATTCAAACTAATTAAACCAATCTTATTCAAGTTTCTCTTATGTTCATCCATTAAAGTTTATAATTAGCTAGTAACATAAGAAACAAGCGGGATTGTTTTTCAGTGTCTTTCCCATTAACCTAATTTACCAGAATAGCTATGCTCAAAGCAAAAAAATTTAGGTTTTGTGTTCTTCAAGATCATCTACAGCATTTTAGTATGTTTAAATCTGTATACCTTTGCTGCTTACTTCTAAATATAGCACATTGTTTTGCCGTTAAAAATAGCCCTCTTTATTAATCACGTACTCAGTACAACGGCGACACACTGTCTGTTCTAGTACACATAAAGTGTCGTATCTTCTAGCAAACAACACCCTTGGGAAGAAAATAAACCTGAGGTAACTATTTACAGTGATTGGTGGCAAGTATTTCATGGGTTTTGTTTATTTCTACGTCGGGAAGAATATTCCATCTGCTTTAAAGATAAAACTTTAGCACTGAAATAACATGTCACTTGTAATGTGGTGTATAATTGGAAAATACTGCCAAAACCTCAGCTGCCATAACTCTCTATAGTCTTGCAATTGTTAGGGATATGGTCCCAGAGCATAAAATGCTACATGATAAAATAGGATGCAATATTGTGGATTGACTCTTTTTTTTTTTTTTTTGCTATAAGAAACAGTAACTTTTCCAGAAGTTCTTATCCACTTTTCCCTAGAAATGTGGAAGTAGTGTATTGCTCAAAGCACTGTTTTTGAGGTTGGCTTTTAGTTTAGCTAGAAACATTTTTGGATAGGCAGCAGAAACCCATGCTAGAGTTCACAGAAGTTAAACATCCAGATCAGAATCAGTATCTTTACACAAGGTTTGATTTCCTACTTTTTTAAAATAATGTCATGAATACACTGTGATCCTAAAACAGAAATTGAAAAGGGCAATGAATATTCTTAGCAAGGAAAAATAATCTACCTTCATTTTTTACTTCACAGAAATGAAAAACATTTACATTAGAATTAGCCTGGAACATATTTTCAGCAATAAAATTAGATACTAAACCAGAAACTTAATGCAATAATAGTGAAGATGTCCTCTGTTTTTCACAGATCACACTGCACAGACTGCAGACTACTATAAAAAATAGATGATGGTAAGTATTTGAGGGAAGTAAACAGACGGTCCAAGCCCACTAATCCAACATGTAATAACATTTGCCTGCAAATCAGGAACACATAGCTATAACTGATGTGCTGAAAGAAAGAAAACACAGAATATTTATTGAGATTTCCACCAGAGACCATTTGGATTTGATGTTATCTCAAGATAAATTCGACAGAACAGCCATTTTGCTCTAAATTACATAGACAGTATTAATTTAAACACAATGTCACTAGCAGATGTTAAACCAGTGAATCTGCCTCTACTTAGAATGCGTAAAAGAAAAACTATGTAAAAAATTTAGAAGTTGTAAACTTCTTTTTTTTTTCCTTTTATTACCAATCATTAATCTGAGTGATGTCACCCAACATGTTGTTTATTTAGCTCTTGATCTTTATTTGTCATAATTTTATAGATGATTTTTAATTTCTCCTTGGGAGTTGTTTATAGAGTTACTGAAGTAAATGCTTTTATGGCTTTTAGGCCTAACAAATCTTTTCCCCGCAAACAATCACATTTGTGTAAAAACACCTGCAGGACTAAAGACTAAAGGATTTAGCCCATATTTTTTCCTAAAAAAGCTAGCCCCAAACCAAATCTGTTTCTCTGCAAAGAAACTTGTGCTTATTCTTGATCAGGTTTTTGTGCCTAATGCTAACTAATACTCAAATACTTGAGTTTACCCCTAAAGCATGAGACAAAAAAAAATTTACATGTAATAAAACAAAACCTCTGTTAAATATAGCTATGTACAAAAAAAAATGGTTTGCTAATACAATCCTTTATGAAAAATTTAACCTAATATTGCTGTAATATATAAGCTGAAAAGCAAGTATCATTGATCCATTAGAGGACCTTCTTTAGAAAAGCAATAGAGCTGAGAATGAATCCTGCAAATTTTGGTTTTACCCTTTCATGATTCTATTGGTAAGCCTCAGAAGTTGGATTCCTGCCATACATGATGATGATATCTTAATACCAAAAAGCCTTAGTATAAAGTATTGCAGTTTACCAGTACAGATCACCTCATGGTTAGAGACTAAAAGACTTTTTTTGCTGTGCCATATGATCTGGTACAGAGAAATTAACCGCTACCTTTTGCAGTTATTAAATTGTTCTTCTGTTTCCAGTGGGGAATCAGGTAGGTGATTAGAAGTCCTAATCATTGAGATTATCCATGCAGGAAATGTACCACCTAGCCATTTTTTCAGTTTCTTTAAGTGGAAGAAGTACCTGCAATATGGAAAATACCCCAGAGGGCAGCAGCTTGGAGGTGAAGGGTTGAGGGTGTAATTGTTTTTGCTGCCTACTGTTGGCTGGTGGTTTTGGTGCTGTGTTGTGGCAGGGCCAGGCTCCCTTTATGCCAGGGCCTACATGGAAAGAAAAGATGGTGACAACCACAAAGCACTTGGATTTGCCCTTAAGAGCAAGGTCCTTCTTCCAGGGGACTGCAGAGGAAAGAAGAGGGAGTAAGCTAAAGAACGGATGAGGATAATTTCATAGAATCATAGACTGTCCTGAGTTGGAAGGGACCCACAAGGATCATCGAATCAAACTACTGGCCTTGTGCAGGACAGTGCCAGGAATCACACCATGTACCTGAGAGCATTGGCCAAGCACTTATTTCACATGGTAAATATTCTCTTGACAGAATCGCTCTTGGAGCCCTGGGACACTTGCTGGACTAGCAAAACCATGAGATAGAGAGACCCACATCAGGGGGGAAAGACTGGCTACACCTTGTGGGAGAGGGGAATACTGCACCCGGGTAATAGCATTCTTGCAGGCCAGAGATGCCTCAGCAGCTCCCAAGTCCAGGAGTTGCAGTTGCACTAAATCATCAGTTTCCCTACCTAGCCCCAATTTAGCACCAATTTTCTAACACTAAGATGGATCCATGCAACTGAATCTTCACCTATTTAGTGTGTGGGTTCACAGCCGTACAGGTGGGATTACATTCTCCACACAGCCAACCAACACTACATCACTGTCCTAAAGCATTTGCAACTTTATGAAAGGGCAGAAATTCGATATCTCTTTATTTGTAGCAAGAAGCCAACTTCTTGCTGGCTATTTTTCACAAGAAGAATCTCTGACAATCATGCAGAGCAAGCAATTGTTAATTAAGCTTATCATTTGGAGACAGGCAGATCTATAGACATCAACAGGCACACCCTGGTGCTGTCTCTGCTAGCTCTTCCCTCCATTCTCCTGTAAAGGCTATTCTACCTTTTTGCTGCCACTAGTTGCTTTCTTTTTCCATGGTCATGTCAGTGTAAGAACAAAGGGTATGTACACAGGGAAGGAACGCTGGGCACTGTTAAGACAAGGAAGGGACAAACAGTTTCTTTTCTCAGAATGTACAAACCTTACTTTTTTAATGATTTCCCCATAAATCCAGAGTTTATTCAAAATGCACACACACTGACCAACAGCAACTCCCATAAACAGACTTGGTTGTTCTTATTCAGTGGGAACTGTGACTGCTCCTCAGTTTAGTCCATAACACATCTCTCTGCCCCTGACATGGGCAGTGAGAGCAGCCTCTTCCATAACTTTAATGATACATTTCCTGCTTATTGCTCTAGTCTGTCTGTCCTTGCTGTGGGGTTTTTTGGCAAAACACTTAAGAAATGTATAAATATTTTTTATGCACAAATATTGTGGGGGTTTTATGGCCTTATTAGGCCAAATTTATCTCACGCAGAGTTCTTTGTATTCACACAAGACAATAAAAGGTTACTGAAACTTGACCAGTTTTTGTCAAAAAACACAAATTTCTGGATCACAGGACATTTTGTCATCAAAGAAGACATACTAAGTAATTCTGAAAGCTGCTGTACAAAGCTTAATTTAATAGTGACTCAGGAGATGATGTCTCTAGTGAATTTAGGCCTACTTCTGGAAGTTCTCTTTGACATAGTCCCACAGACCTTTGAAAGGAAATTGGGACCATAGGAACAGAACATTTGCATTAGGTTACTCAAGATCTTTCCAACCTTACCTATTCTGAAGAGAGTGTTAATCTAAATAGTAGTCTTGTTTACATTATGTGAATCAAATCCCCTCACATGGACCCAAAGGTGAAAAATTTGGAATCAGCTACTGGCTTATCTTGCTAACAGGTGTGCTCCAGTTAGACACGGGGGTGACCAGAGTGTTTGTTTAGAAAGTATGGTCACGTTTTGGCCCCTCATTTTCAGCATGTAGTATTAGGTCACACAAGCAAGTGGCTGGCGAATAAGCCTGTATGGGGAGGTATCCTAATAGCTCTTCTGAGGGAATTAGCTTTGCCTTATGTTAAGTATACTGGCGTGGGTTATATTATTTTTTCCCCTACACGTTGAACCCAAATTTGCCATTAATAATCAGCAGGTTTTCCTGTGTCCCATCTTTTGTAAACTGCTTTTCAGAAACAGAGAGCCCATGACTCCTTCAACATTAATCACATGGAATAAGAAACAGCATGGAATAAGAATTCAATGTTAAGTAGGCGTTAGAGACTCCAAAAGCTGTTAGCATTATCTGACTAATAAGCAGTGGTCAGGAAAGTGTCACTTTGTAGGCTGATAATACCATCATTACTTTGAAGTGGTGCACGCACCAGCAGAGAAGGAACACTGCTGTTTCTAGAACAAAGGCATCCTGCACACACTAAGGGAGAAAGCAGACATGAAACCAGATGAAAGAATAGAAGAGGGTTTTCTGGTTTGCTAAGCTGCCAGAGTACCAAAACTGTACATATGAGGCAAAGGAAAACAACTGCACACATATAAGGAAAAAGCCAAATGTGTGGGATTCTAGTTGCTGCTGAATGCTTTATTCCTCTGGATCAGCACCAGTATGTGAAAGAACACAGCAGAGAGCAGTGGGAATTCCTCCAAGACTAAAAGGAAGATAGGAATTATTAATTAGAACTTGAAATAAAGTGTGTGGACCTATAAATGCAAAAATCCAAACAGAAGTCTATGAATAGAGAGTGAAAGGTTAATCACACCTGGTATTGTTATTCAAATTACCTGAGAGCTGGATTCACTGTTCAGCCTTTGCATGGGTAGGCAAAGCTGACCCACAGATAGCTGGCAATGGTAGCCACATTAAAACTTACTTTCTGGTGTTCTAAAACACTTCAGGGTAATAGCTATATAGGTTTGCCCTTCAGTCAAAGCAACATAGTTTTCTGCTTGGATGGCATTGGCAATTTATCTTTGAATCTTTTAATGTTGAATACCACCTATGACAGAAAAACAGATCATTTATTAGTATAGCACATCTTGTACTAGGCTATTTGAACTTCTATTTTCCATGACTTAGAGAGGAAGAAAAATCAGAGAAAGACAGACAAACAGAGGACAGATTGCTTTTCAGTTAAAAGTTCAGGAAATGTTTTCCCAATCCAGGCAGATTATGCTGGTAACTGAGAAGCTGAAGAATCATCATTACGATAATTTTTTCCCTTTTTCATTCCTTCATTAGCCCAGAGATAGCAATGCCCCTGTGGGGCCTCACTTCTGATTCTCTGAGGAAAGCTGAGCAGTCTTCAGAGCCACAAGATGAGACAAAGCTGCAGCTATGAAGAGTGGGGCAGAAGCTTTGGCATCTTTCCCTCCCACAAACTTTCATTAGAGGTCAAGCAAACTATTGAGGCCTGCTATTACAGAGATGAAAGAAGAACAGTTTTGTGATACTGCTGATATATGCAAATAAATAAATGAAATAGGAAAGACAATTGAGGCTCCTCGATTCCAGTTAGGAAAACACAAAATGACAGCTTTCACAACAGACTGTTCCTGGAATGCTTTTCAACCTTCTGACCTCAAAGTCTTACAGTCCAGGAAAGGACAGTCTGTTACACAGTGCCTGTTCAGTGACTATACAGGCTTTAGATAGCAGTAAATTCATTCACCTCCCTTTTTTGCCCTCCAGCGTTCCCAGGTACTTTATTAGGCAGTGGTGTGTCATGGTTTAGGAATGGTACCCCCCAGTTTAGTGCTCCCACTAAGAGTCTCCAGACCACACTGTCCCTTGCTGGCTCCTCCCTCCCCCTCCTCATGAGGTGGGATGGAGACAAAAATGGGAGATGAGAAAGGTAAAGATCCTGGTTTAGATATGAGCAGTTTACTGGAAACAGCAATGAGATAAGAAAACAAACAGTAAGGGCAACAATACTAATGAAAGAAGGTACAAGAAAGAGGTAAACGATTCACACTGAAACTCCCTGACAACAGAGGATACCTCACAGCTCCCTCTGTTACACTATGCCAACCCCAGAAGAGACTCCCTTCCACCCACCCCTGGCAATCATGTAAGGTGGTATAGAATAACCTCTGGGTTCAAGCCATGCCCCCTCCTGGCTACTACAAAAATTAACCCTGTCCTGGCCAAAACCAAGTGTAAGGTGATAGATAAAACCACATAAAAGAAGAAAAAAGGCTCCTCGTAGTTTCCCGGAAAAACCCTGCACCTCAGAAGACATTCCCAGAAACTGATAAAAGGATTAAAATGAAAAAAGAAGTGATAGGGAGACAACATGGCCTTTTTTGGGGAACATCCTGGCCACCGGGAACTCATGAAGTGGACACTTGGGCCTATTTCATCAGTCTATCACCTCAAAATTAGTTTATTTACTATAACCATTCAAACTGCCTAAAGAAAAAGGTATAAAAAGAGATTGAACTTAAACAAAAATCAGGGAGAAGTTCCATCCATTCTGTGGAGGTAACCAATGGGCTACCTTTCTCTCCCTCCACCTTCTCAGGATGCCTTGGGATGAGCGATTACTTTATACATATACACTGATTTTAGTTCTGCTCCATAGTACTTTAAAATTTTTACTTATTTTTTGTTAGTTCCTTTGCTTTAGGGAGAGTGCTTAAGCTTTGCTTTACTTATTCTTTGTAAGTCATCTTATTTGTAGGCTGCTTTTGCTTTAGGGCATGGCTTAAGTTTTAGCTTAAAGTTTGTAAGTTATTTGTAAGTTGCTTTAAAGTCTGTGGTTTGTGAGTGGCTTTGCTTTAGAGTTTTGGCTTCAGTTTCGCAGTATTAATATTCTTTGTAAGTTGCTTTGCCTTAGAGCGCATGCTCATGCCCTGCCTTCTTGTTGCTACATGGTTTCAGTATAACTTCTGCAGTTAAACGTTATCACAAACCCTATAAGTTGTCACAAATTTGTATTAATAAGCATGTTTTTTTGTGAACTGTTAGAGTGACTCTGTTTCTAGGTGCTGACAGTTTCGTCGGCAGCAAAATAACTCATAGGAAAAACTTGCTGAGGGGTTTTCCTACAGCTATTAAAGGCAGTCCTTATTTAAAAAGGTATCAAATGTCCTGTCTGTCTCAGTGAACCTGTTAAGGAAGAGTCTCATTAGGTGAGAAGCTAACAGACTGTTTTGGACATTAAAAGGTTTTCACCTCCTGGGGAACGCTGACTGACAAAAAAATAAATTAATACAGGTTGGGCAGAAAATTTGTCTTTTCTGCCCCTTTCCATGTGACACCAGGACATGGTGTTACAAAATCTGCCAATAAACTCCATGGTGCTCCTGGGAGCTTGAAAGATGCAGTCCACAGAATATCTCGCATGTCAGAAATAAAAGAAAACCCAGACCTAGCTTTTACAGCCATTACCACTACAACAGAAAGTAGAAATTAGGAAGGACTTATAACCCAGTAAATGGATAAGTTTTAAAACAGTAAAGTTAAATTTTGTGCCATCTTCTGATCTGAAGGATATTGCTAGGAATTTGTAGGGCAGGGAATTTATATTGCTTCCTAAAATATTCACATGGTTCCATTCAAAAAGCTATAAAGATGAAATTAGGATATGGAAAAAAACCCATACTAACCTGCATATTTTCCAATTTAAAATAAGTATCAAAGATTGCTTTTATTATTTCCCTCCACCAACAGAGAACTACTATACAGCCAAGAGAAGACAGAAGCTGCTGCCTACTTTCTAAAATCCTCTTGAACTCAGGACCATTCAATGTCTTTAATTAGAAAGATGTACTAAAGCACAAGGAAGCATAGCAGCTTATTAGTTGCTCTTCTCCAAAGTACAATTTAAAAGAACATACTGATATCTCAGCACACCTCACTCCAATCAGGTTTTTTATGACACAGGCACTAAAGCAAACAAACAGGCCCACGTGGCTGTAAGTTAACTTCTGCCTACAATGAGCATCAGCAGATGAAAGGAGGGTACTCCCAGCTCTCTGAACAACCCCAGTTTTCTCAGCCTGTGTTCGTAGGAGAGGTTTATTACCATTAACTTAAGAAAGTGATATTAAGATGTAAATAATGCTTTGCATAATTGTACTTGTTTGCTACAGAAGAACTATGCAGCAACATCTATGCCCAAATTTCCCATCTCCACTTTCTGTAGATGGCAGATGCTTATGTCTTCTGCCTTCCTTTCACTCACCACAGGCCGCAGGTCAGCCTTTGCCCCCTCATTTTCCACCAGTCCCTCCTTCCCCCTCACAGCTGTTAGCATCCTTCTGCATCATGTACATACAAGCAATTTGAAACCCAGTTGGAATGTCCACAGAAAAGTAAACAAATGAAGCTTGGATATTAATGTACTGCCCTTTTAAGCCTTTTTTCCCTATTGCCACAACCCCTGTCTGTATTAAGTTCTAGTTGGAATTTAAGGAGATTTTTTACTGACACGGGGATATGCTAGATTAGAGGTCTTTTGCAACATCAGGATATCTCATGTCTCTTTATACTTACTCCTGAATAGGTAGAAGTCCACCTTTCATAATTCATCTCATTTAATGACATTTTAGCCTATACTATAATCCAAAATGCTCTCTTCAGCAGGAAATACTTTATAAGGTCTACATCCTGCCATCAGCCCAGGCACTGATCTCCCACTTGAAAACAGTGGAGAAATCTGTGTAAAATATCACTGTCAGGATATGGGTAATCAGTGATCTTTTTCTGGCCAGTAGTAGGAGTAGAAATATGCTGGTTTTCTCATATTTAGCAGTTATTTGGCCTGAACTCATTATTTACCTGTATATTATTATTTGAAAAAGCTTGTTTTCTTCAGATCCCTAAAGGGGAAGAGATCCACGCCAAGTCTACCCACACATAATTATATGTTTTTACAGCAGAACTGTTTTTTTTTTAAAAAAAGTCACTTTTTTCAGTCCAGGGATGGAGAAAAATCTGTCTCCCTGCCAATTCCGGGAATCCAAAAAAAAAAAATTACTAATTTGAGTTCCATAAAAAATTTGTCATCTGTCAAAATTCTGTATTCATTTACCAGCTACTTACAAGAGGCAAGATTACTGCATTTTTTTCTTAGACCTAAACCTCTAGTAGCAAATAAATTGTAATGGAAACACTGACAAGACAGTGAGAAGACAAGGTTAGCAAGTTTTCATGGAAATATATTTCTCCAAAGGCACTCTTAGGTCATCCCTGTCAACTGTTTATTGGTTTGTATTAAAACATTTTGTAAAAGCACTTGAAGAGGTCAAAAACGAAGACATCAGTATCTAATCACATTTTGTGATCTACATTTTTAAAAAATATTCAATTACCATTTACAGTCAGAAAGAGTAAAAGAGCAAAGAAAGGGAAGATCTCCCAAACCCTAATTTCAAGTCTGTAGCACCAAATGATGGTGTGATTTTAAGCTGTACTTACTATCACTGCTTATTATGAGCTTAACAGCATTAAAGGGATGTGTGGAGCTGGAGGAGTGAAGAAATTTCTTCTATTCACTTTCTGAAGGTATATGCTTACTTGAGAATATCAACTTTCATTTTTAACAAGTTACTAAACCTCATAATTATAGAAGACCTTTAGAATTATGTCTTCAGCACAAAGAAAATTAAAGGCATGTTTAAAAACTTGGTTTTTACTAGAGGAAATCAGGGGAGGGAATAGCTGACAGATGTTTATAGGACTGAGGTTAACAGTGCAGGATCTATACTCACTTCTCTCCATCTGCAAAATAATCTTTCTGAAAGTAGAATACAAAAAGGAGAAAGTAGAAGATATGTTGAAAGGGAAAAAGGAGGTAACTGAAGGAAACCTTGCTCTGTTATTCAAGGAAAGAATCATAGAATCATTTAGGTTGGAAAAGACCTATAAGATCACCAGCTCAAACCATCAAATATAAGCAGTGGTATCTTCTGTTCTGTGTTTCCCTGTTCTTTTGCAGCAAATGGCCCAGATTATCAGAGGCAGATGTTACACCACGGGAAGAACACATCTCTGACACAAGGAAAAGGATGTTATCTGACAAGACACGCTACATCAAAGTTGACACCAAATCATTTGGTAAACCAAGATGAAAAAAGAAGTGCAGCTCATGCAAAGAGATGGATTTTTTTGTAAGAAATAAAATAAATTTTAAAAAGTTTTACTTATCCAGATTCACTAGCCTCACCAAAATTCCCAGCTGTTCATCAAAAGTAGTTGTAAAGGCCAAGAGAATCAGCTTCCTGCTGCATATGGACTTTTACTCACGCAAACATAACAAACACAAAACCTCCCATGTGTCTTTTAGCATACAGTTAGTTACTGAAAAAGACGGAATAAAACCTGTGGAAACAGGAAAGGGGAAACAGAAGTGCTTGTATCACATCAAATTACAATGTATTTCTACATACTTTATTCTTGCTTTCCAGCTGATTTAG